TTCTGTACAATCTCTGATGATGGAATGTCTCAACATCTGGTTGAACATCAGATCCTTGAAGTAGACAAAGCAGATCAGGGGCCTGAAGCTTGTGTAACAACTGATGAGACACCTTGATCATCAACTAAGGATAATCCATTAAATATTTGAGAATATCTCAAATAGCAATGAATCTTAAATCCTTATAATAAATCCTTCTCTTCAGCAATCTTGAACTTGATGGATAACCAATTAAATACGTGTGTAGTCCACAAATAGCAATTGATCTTAAATCCACACAACTTCAGGAATACCAAGGTTGAAACATCAAGGCTGACACCCTTGACTCAACCTGCCTATGACTCCCTCATGCTAATAGAGCTCTGGCAAATCATGAATGGTGAAAATAAATCACCTCCCATTATACCATCTATCAACACCAGAGATCTTCAGAAATCCATGAGAACCAGATTATCTCCCTGAAAGAACTTTTATCTTCAGATTGACTTCAGGGTACATATATCAACACACAACTGAACAACCCAAGCACACAAGCAACAACCCAGACACACAAGTAGCACAACTACAACATTCAACAACCTGCCACAACCATACATCAAACTGTATATAAGCCAATCTTCTCCCAGGTCTACCAGAGTTCTATCATCAGAAACATATACAGCGGAACCACCAAAAAAACATCTTCAACATGCCCTAATCACGATGTCAGAACATTCAACAGGTCATGGAAGCTCCTATATCAGAGGGTACAGTAGCAAATACACAAACTCCTTCAAAAGTAGGAGTGAACACACACTTTTTCTTAACTCCATAAGTAGTAGCTCAAACATTTAGCAAGATTAGCAAATCAGCTACCACTTCTCCTTGTTCAAGACACCAGAAAGTATGTCCTAAGATCTCATCCAGAACAGACAAGATGCCTGTTCTGATACCAATTGAAATTCTGGTATGAAGATTTAATTCACTTAAAAATTAATAGTGTCATGACATCTGTTGTAACATCTACAGACTGACAGAACTGTTTATCTAACCATTTAAATTGTGCAGAATTGTAAATACAGTAACAAATAGTCGATGTTATAGTGGATGTTATGATATCCACTTCTTGACAGACTATTAAACTTAGCAGTAAACAAGTCACGAAAGCAGTAAAGAACACATGAAATTGTTAACCCAGTTCGGTGCAACATCACCTACATCTGGGGGCTACCAAGCCAGAAAGAAAATCCACTATTAACAGAATTAATTTAGAGCTAAACTCTCAGTTTACAACTCCTCACTTAATCTCTACCGCATGCAATTTCTGCCTAGAATCCACTAGACAAGAGACACCTCTTACTCCCCTTAATCACAACAGTGATAAACAATTCAATACAAAAGAAAGACTTAAGAAGACACTTTTCAAAGTCACAAACTTGATTTTGCTTAACAACTTCAATCAAGAACAATACACTCTTGCTTAAAAATTTTAAGTGAACAATTAACATTGTACAAATAACAGCCTAAATATGTCTACCACGATGCATCCAAAGATACAAAGGGTGACTTACAAAGTTACATACAAGAGACTCTCGAAATCCTAAAACACAAAAACACACGTGAAGATTAAGTTACACCAATAGAACTCTTCACGACACTATCTCTCAGTCTCTGTCTAAAAGCCCCAACGAATTAGGATTGCTACTTCTGTATATATAAGCAGCATACAATCCTTGGGCCTAGGTGTAGAAATTAGGTTTACCCAAGATAAACCTCTCTTCATGAAGCTGCGCACATCCAATTAGGTCAGGGACATTCCATGTTATCCTCAGTAATGCCTGACATGTTGCCTGAGATAACTAGGCTTCCTAAAATGTTTCCTGAAGTATAGCCTGAGCTAATACCAGAAAACTTAAACCCGCGCTCTGATGTCATACGCTTGATGTCATAACATCCAGCATGACATCCAACTTAACTTGCTCTTAGCTATCCCAACTTACCCTGCAGAACACTCTTGCAGAATCTTCTTCATAACAGTAGAAACAAATATATTATAGTTTCCTAAAAAGTATCAAAGATCCTTTTTATGAACACCAATTAAATTTTCACTTTGTTCCTAATAAATCTCTTTGATCTGCACACACTGATGAAATATATCCAACATGATCTCATCAAACCAAACCACCTCTGTCAAGAGATATACAATAGCAGCTCTGTCATGGCAGCAGATGAATGTCACGACATCGGTCTTGACATCTTGATTAAAACACATAATAGCAGTTCTGTTACCACAACAGATGGATGTCACGACATTCAGCATGACATTCAGATTAAAACACATGACAACAGTTATGTCACCACAGCAGATGGAGATGTTATAACATCCTGCTTAACATCAGTGCAGAATCATGTTTTACCAAAATTTAGCCAATCATAAAACCATGGACAATCATAGAATCATGGAACTAACATGAAAAAAGAGATCCAAGAAAAGTGGATTTGGAAGAAAGAAGAAATGAGGCTTGTGAACATGATTTTATTTTGGTGAATCATCTAATGAAGATAATGACTTCAACATCCTTGGGGTGCAACTCAATTACATAATAGATGATAATAATGAGGTATTTCTAAACTTATCTCGTGATGAACTTATTATTAGCTTAAGTGAGTTACTTGATAAGATTTATAAGACAACTAACAAATATAAATGTCTCAAAAGAATTTATGATAGGTCATCGGATTTGTGCTTAGCTCTTATTTTCCTTGTATATGCCTTTGATCCTTCAATCTTCCTCCTCCTCCTGAAACACAACAGAAGTAAAATAATAATAAATTAAGCGAAATAGATAATAAAACAATAAAAATGTGACTTATTCATCAAGCACAACTTTATGTTGGCCATGTCAGACGACCCTTATACAATGTAAACACTTAACGTCTTTTTTGTAATTATTTTTGACTAGTGTAGAGCTTTTTCTATAAATGCTTATTTGTGAAAGTTTTTCTTCTTCTTTTCCTCTGTATCTCAAAATAATGTATCATTGAACTTCATTGGTTATCTATTGTATGAAATCGTGAGAGAACTTGAAAAAATATATAACTTAATTGATTATCTATTGTATTTAATTGTGTGAGAACTTGAGAATATATATAACTTCATTGATTAGAATATTGAAGAATTTTAAATGTTGGGGTAAGAGTTGTTGTGGTCCAATGTACTATTGTTTGCGCATGATACTTCCATACAACCGTGTACTTATATCAAAATTGTCACGTACTATTTGTACTCTAATGCCACACACAACTTGTACATTTGTATCTTTTGTACTATAGATAAATGTTCCTCAAATTTGAATTTATTACGATGACAATCCGTCATTGCATTAAAATAGGTGAAGAATCGAAGAAAAACAAGCGAAATAGGAGCCAAAAGAAAAAAAAAAGACTCAAGAATAAGTGAAAAATAGCCAAGTATGAAAGAATGAGACTTAGTGAAAATTCTGGTGAAAAATGATGCTTTTTGATGCAGCTACTGGAATAATCACGCTTCATCGCACAATATCGTGTGCGTGATAGAGATGTATGAGCTATACTGCGCACGCGATACATCTATATTGCACGCGATGGGTACTTTTTCTGAACTTTTCTGACGTGTTCTAAACTCTTTTTTAAGGAGATTTTCATCATTTGGACAAGTGTTACAAATTTTGGAAATCAAACCACGATTTTGAGAACATCAAGGGTGATTTTTAGGGCATTTGAAACCATTGGAGGCCATTACTTCAAGAGAATTCATATGTTATTTTTATCTATCATCTGTGGTATTTTTTTTTAATAATGAGTAACTAAACTCCTCTAGGTTATGTTGTGTTATGATGAACCTTATTCAATCTTATTGGAATTATATGTTGGTTTGACTTTGTATGGATGCTTTGAATTATAATTTTATTCAGTTGCTTATTGTTCTTAATGTTTTTTATTTGAGATACTTTGTTAATCTGATATTGGACATATAAAGATTACTGACACTTAGTCTATGTGTTAGACTTAGGGCAACTGTTATACTTACGCGAGTTGAATAGGAATAGGAGACGTCGAGTAGTAGCATAAGGAATTAACGTTTTGTACATTACTCATTCTGCTTACGCTAGTGGGCTAGGAATAAGAAGTTTCGAGTAGTGATTAGTGAGTTATTTTGTGAGGGATCAATTATAATTGTTTTGTTAATTCGCCGTGAAACTATAAAGATAAGATCATTCATACAAGACATCATACATCAACCAGAAAAAATAAGGATATTCGATACACAACCTAACCGTCTCAGTCTTCAGTTTAAAATCTCTTATTTTGTTTTTTGTTTACAACCTAACATTGAAAGCATTAACTAGAGAATAATATAAAAAAATCTTTTAGACAAGTTCTCCAATGATACTTTAGCCGATGATATTTCAAGATGCTTAATGATCAGTGATATTTTTTAAATTTATCATTTAGACAAATTCTCTAATGATACTTTAGCTGATGATATTCTAAGATGCTTAGTGATCGGTGATATTTTTTAAATTTATCTTTTGTCCATATGATTATTTGTCATAAGTAGATATCAACGTTGTTTTCATAGTATAGAGTACTTATAATGATTTTAATAATTATCTCCACATATAACACACATTAGAGAATACAATTGTTTTACATTTTGCTATCACGGAAATCAAAATTGAAGTTTATTATTCTAACTAACTTTGATTCAACATCGCATTGATATTATTTTTCCTTTATCTCTTTTATTTTGAAAATAGCTTTATAACAAAATAAATATTTTAAATAATTTTTGGACAGATAAATGATTTAATTGTTAAAATATTATTGTAGCATATTAGAGTGGATTCTAAGTTGAGAGTGAATGTATTTGAAGAGGATATTTGTAAGAAAGGAAAGTGGGGTAATGACGTGGCTAAACTAAAGACAATGGAGTTTGGAACATAAGACTAGATTTGGTGGTTCCTGGGCCATGCGATGCCATGAATACGATGACGGGTGTTGCCGTGTTTCCTTGTAATAATGTTTTGAGACTAACAAGACACTGCTCAAGAATTCATCATCATAACAATGGCAGAATTAGTAAAAGCAGACTTGTGGTGAGAAACAGCAGCAAGTTAGATTATGGTGTTGCAGAAGCAGATGTCAGCAAATTAGATTATGGTGTTGCAGAAGCAGATGTAATTGTGATTGGGAGTGGTATTGGTGGACTGAGTTGTGCAGCACTGTTGGCAAGATACGAACAAAATGTTGTGGTTCTTGAGAGTCACGACGTTGCTGGAGGTGCTGCTCATTCTTTTGATGTGAAAGGATATAAGTTTGATTCAGGTCCCTCATTGTTCTCTGGTTTGCAGTCAAGAGGTCCTCAGGCAAACCCTCTTGCTCAAGTTCTTGATGCATTGGGAGAGTCTGTCCCATGTGCTACTTATGATTCATGGATGGTTTATGTACCTGAAGCTGATTTCTTGTCACGCATAGGTCCTACTGAGTTTTTAAAGGATCTTCAAAACTATGCTGGTTCTGAAGCCGTTCAAGAATGGCAGAAACTTTTAGTCTGTTCTTCTCTCTCTTGCTATGTATGGTATGTGATAAACAAAAGTAGTAAGTAATGTTGTTTTGTTTCTTGACAGGATGCTATACGTCCCTTGTCCACCGCTGCTATGGCTCTTCCCCCTCTATCTATTCGAGGAGATTTCGGTGTTCTTTATACTGCTGCTGCTAGATATGCTCCTTCTCTTTTCAACACCTTCTTACAAATGGGTCCTCAGGCTGCTATTCGATCAACACAGCTTCTTTCACCTTTCTCACAAATACTTGACTCTTTGGAACTCAAACACCCTTTTATAAGAAATTGGATTGACCTACTCTCTTTCTTGCTTGCTGGTGTCAAATCTGATAGTATACTTTCTGCAGAGATGGTACTCCTACCTCAAATCATCATTTATTTGTATTATTACATGACTCTTGAGCAACCCTGTCGCTTCTCTCTTCTTATTTTTACAGTGTGCATAGCACATCAATCTCTAAAGGGAGTTTGTTAAATTATGATTCCTGTTGTTTACTTAAATACAGTAGAAGAATGATTGACCAATTTCATTTCTTAAAAATCTCCTAAAATCAGTTTCAAAGTTGAAGCATTACTGAAATGTTGTTGCTAACAGTTGTTCTCCCTTCTCTCAGGTTTACATGTTTGCAGAATGGTACAAACCAGGGGGCTGTCTTGAGTACCCACTCGATGGATCAGCAGGTATTATTGATGCTCTTGTACGAGGATTAGAGAAGTTTGGTGGACGGATTTCTCTTCAAAGTCATGTGGAAAAGATTGTTATTGAAAATGACAGAGCTGTTGGAGTGAAACTGAGAAGTGGTCAAGTGAGTACAGAAGTATATTAATTTTGATTATTGATGAGAAAAGATGCAAAGATGAACTTTATGTTCAAATTATGTCTGGTGCAGTTCATACGTGCTAAGAAGGCTGTTGTGAGCAATGCATCAATGTGGGATACTTTAAAATTGCTACCTGAAGAAATTGTTCAAAAGTCTTACTCCGAAAGGATTAACACTACTCGCCAGTGTGAATCATTCATGCATCTCCATTTGGGATTTGATGCAGAGGTGAGTTTCTGTTGACGGTGACTGCTTTTATTCATATCTTTCACTTTCCATCTATTTGAAGTATTAAACATTGAGTGAACAGGGCATACGTGATGATCTGGGAATTCATCATATAGTTGTAAATGATTGGGAAAGAGGAGTTGACGCGGATCAGAACGTTGTGCTGATATCAGTGCCTAGTGTGCTTACTCCTAATCTGGCACCTAGTGGTAAACATGTGTTACATGCTTATCTTCCAGGAACTGAACCATTTGAGTTGTGGGAAGGACTTGATCGTAGGAGTGCCGAATACAGAAATCTTAAAGCTCAAAGATCAGAGGTATGTGTATGAATTAAATTGAGTGAATGAATAACATAACAGGCAGTATAATAATATCTGTTTTGAATTGATGATTATTATTGTAAACAACAAATAGATAATGTGGAGAGCAGTGGAGAGAGCAGTGGGAGAAGGTTTCAGCAGGGAGAAATGTGAAGTGAAGTTAGTTGGAAGTCCACTGACACATGAAAGATTTCTTAGGAGGAACAGAGGTACATATGGACCAGCTGTCAAAGCTGGTAAAGATACCTTTCCTGGACATTCAACAACAATACCACAGCTTTATTGTTGTGGAGACTCCACTTTTCCTGGCATTGGAGTCCCTGCAGTTGCTGCCAGTGGTGCAATTGTAGCCAATTCATTAGTTTCAGTGTCTCAGCATTCTCAGCTGCTTGATGCAATTGGAATTTGAAAATCATGCATGATGCAATTCTCCCATGTATGAAAACCATTGTTTTTCATTCTCAAACTTGCACAAATGAAATAATACATGTGATTTTTATATTGTATGATAATTTTATGAGTTTAGTTGATTTGTATCTTCAGTATAAAATTGTTTACACATGCATAGTATCTTCAGTATATTGTATAAAATTATTTAAGTCCAAAGATACTCTTGAGCACAACACATCCTAAACAAATTCTAGGGTTGGCATCAAGGCCAATATTGTACAAATAATCACTTTTTCCATGTTGAATAAAGCCTCTGCTCTGCCTACATAGAAAATGAATATGGCATCCCTTTACCACATTTTAAGTGCAGACATGATTACTGTTGAGGTTCAGTTCATACGCAATGGTCCAAAAAAAGGCTCTTGTTTGTTTCCAAGGAGAGGCTCAGCTTCTTTTACTCAAACAGAATGACAGAGTACCAGCAGTGCAGAGCAGATACAGTTTTCTTCCACGCGACTCTGATGCTCAATTATTTAGGCACGCTGCCTTCTTCTAAAAGCAGATTGATGATAGACTTGATAATCTCGTCATTTAGAACGATTACATTCTGAAAGAAAACAAAAAATGATGGTATTGTTACTAGAACAAAACAAAATAAATTGCGTTTCGTTAAGCTTGAAGCCTTGAAGTTAACTCTGAAATATTAATAAGATTAAAGTAGACTTTGATGCATTAAAATCAACAAAGAGAATAAGAGAAACAGTATGTGCAATGGGAATTCAAAATATCATTCAAAAAGAATATAGCTATAAAATGGTACCTCTGGTTTTCTAATAAGCTCCTTCAGAATGGAATGTAGAGCCAATCGTAGCTCCTTGAACAAGACAGCTATTTGGGCAGGTGCATTCAATTTTAACCATCCATCGATGATGACCAGTCCAGTCTATTATGTAAAGGAAAGAAAGTTGTAAAAGAAAACAAGAATTTCTCTTGAAAGTGCAGCATTAAACGATCTACATAAAAATGCTTTTTCCCGTTTAGAAAACTAAAGAATTCAATATAATAACAAAACAGATATAATAACCTAGTTAATGGTGAACCACCAATTGGGGTATATGTGGTCCATCTTAGCATTGCCATGAGCATCATTTATTTGAGAATAGAGTAACAGAACATGTACCTGATGCTGAACATTGATTGACCCTCCAAAGAGCAAAATTGAGTATGGAGAAATGACTGAAGTATCTCTTAGAAATATTTTGTTCGTTTCAACCTGACAATTTTAATATTTACGTCATTGACAGGTAATTGGATTTATTATAAATGTAACGAGTTTGATGCATATATTTTATATGTTGCTTGAGGGGGGTTTTTAGAATTTGTGTAAATAATGTAATGATGCAATTACAGTAATTAGGGGAAAAAATAAATCCTTGTATTTATGCTAAGGAACAGATTCAAAGAGATAATACATTTCCAAATTATGGTCGAGAAGAAACATTTTAAGCTAAAAAGGTTACTTAACAAAGTTATTAAAAAACTTTACAAACCTTTTCAAGGAAGACAAGAAAAGGATGCTTGAATACTTTTGTGTTACTGTTGATAGAAGATGGGTGGAGATGAACTTCTCTTCTTCCATCAAACCAGAATGTACGACTAGAATTCACAGAGCTAGGAGACCGCTTAAGGCTGCTGAGAGCAGTTGCAACAATACCTTGTTCACCAGCTGCTACATTAGGGTATAAACCTGCACATAGTATAGCCTGCAAGGGTACATTCAGATCTTTGGTTGAAATAATATCCAATGGAGATATTTGCTCATTATATTTTCAACATCACTTCTGTATAGGATAGGTCAGGAAATAGGAGACTATACAGAATGAGTGGCCTTGTACAAGGACTGACCCTTGTCTCAGAAATGAACATAGATGCCCAACAAGTATTTCCCCAAATCGGACAAATGGATTACTCTTTCAAATGATGTGTAATAAGAACTGTTATCGGTATTCTAGATATGTAAGACGGATTGCATAAAATATAGTTTCAGGGACAAGCAAAGTGATATCCAAAGAAAGATACAAATATTCAGATTATCATGGAAAATATAACATGCTTCAATTTTGAAAAATCTTGGATTCAGGCCTTTCACTTAATTGCAAAGTGATATTTTCCATTCAATGCATGCTGGAAAGTAATAACAATTAAAGTTCAGATTTAAATTAGGGATATTTGGAATGGTAATAAAGAAAATATACTTCCTATCTCAAGGGCCAAAGTGACAAGCAACCTCTTTGAGATATTTGCAATGGATGAGTATAAACAATTACAAAAGAAAAGGAAAGGAAAAACAAAAATGACAATCTACACTCAGGATACTGAAAAGTGATAGAAAAAGTCATGGCAGAAACTCAATAAGAACACTGATAGAAATGACATCATACATAAAACATAACATGGAGCAGTGTTGTCAAATATCAATATCGGAAAATATCGGATCACCAAAAAACCGATATGAGAAATATCGGATCGCGTAGCGGCCAAATATCGGAAGCCGCAAAGTGGTTAAAACAGAAATAAAAACTCAACAAAATTTAAATTGAAAATTTCAAATCCAATAACTAAAACAGAAATTTAAAAGAAATTAAAACTCAGTTAAATAGTTCAAACTAATAACTAATAGTTCTTCTAAGTCTAACTAATGATAAAAGATTTAACTATTCTCCTTTTTTCCTTCTCCAACATAATCATTACTCTCCTTTTCGGACAGTGAGGCATAACCTTCAGCTTTTTCAATTGAATCATCTGAATCAATATCCTCAAAGAATCATCTGAATCAATATCCTCAAATTCTACTTTTGATTCTTCGACAACAGGATCTTCCACTTCAATCACTTGTTGCTTTCCCTTTCTAGATGAAGAACCAGCTGACTTCTTTGTTTTTGATGAAGTGCCAACAACATTAGGGTTGGGAGTTTCTTTTCTCTTTTTAGTTGTTTGCCTAGTATATCTTGTAGGCTCTCCTCTCCAACTCCTGAAGCTCTATAAACAGCTTCCCAATTAAGGGTATCCTCATCACTCTCATCCTCAAAGACTCTTTCTAGTGTTGTATGATACTAGGCACCAACTCAATAGCCCGCATTTTCCTTTTTCAATATTTCCACCTCTTTAGATTCTACTTTTCCACCTCTTTACCATACCCTCTTTAATGTTTCTACTTTTCCACCTCTTCACCTTACCCTCTTAAATGTTTTTAAAAATGATTTATTATAAAATAATAATAATAAAAATATGGCTTCTGATATTCCATTCAAAACCAGTATACCGGTATACCGGAAAATCGCCGATATTACGAGCATCGCGAAATTGAAATGTTATACCGGCTTTCGTATCGGATAGCCAAAATTCCGATACGCAATACCGGTATACAGGCGCTATACCGAATATTTAACAACAGTGACATGGAGAACATAAACAAATGCCCAAGTGAGAGAAACACAGAACATCGTCTTTAAGCTTTGATGAAAAAGAAAGAAGCATCGCCTAAAAGTTACAACTAAATATATCCAAACTGTTGGAAATAGAAAAAAAATACATTGTATGTTTCCCATTAAAATTAGCATTTAAGTCTTATGTTCATGTATATTTAGATTCATGCATTTAGAAAGTTAGACTATTATTTACTTCTCCTTGTAAATATAATATGTAATTAATTATATAGTGTGTATAAATATCATAGTTGCCGAGTGTTTTACTCACTTAAGCACGTTCAGAAAATTTCTTATTTCTATTTTTCACATGGCAACAAAGCTCTGTTGACTAGGGGACTCTACTTCCGCTAATAATTATTTAGAGATCTGACTGGGCATTTTTATGCTGTCAGAACCCTTAAATCTTGACTAGGCAACACTTGCTGTCAAGTTTTTTCCAATTAAATACTGTTTCTTCTTTCTACCCTCCATTTGCACAGTTTCGTACTTCTTCCGGTAGCTATCTGTTCAGCCGCCGTCTCTACACTTTTCGGAAGCCATTCGTACAGTTTTTTGCCACCGTCGGTACAACTTTGCACATTTCTCAACAGCCGTCTGCACAGACCAGACGTTGTCCCTACACTTTCTTGGTTGATTTTTTTTTATTGAATCTTATTTTCTTTGATATCTTATACATAAATATTTGGTGGTTGCTTCTATTTCCTTTATGACCAAAATTATGGAAAAGTCTTCAGGTAATTGCATTGTGGCGTATTCTGGTAAGCTTTCACTCTCATTTGGATTTCATGTCTCAGAAACACCTTGCTTATTCTAGATATTAGATTCAGGAGCCGCATACCACATAAAACCCTCTTCGAAACAGTTCTCCACATATTCCCCTTGTTCCAGTAACAAAAAAAAAACTACTGCAGATGTTACTCTTGTAATTGTAGCAGGCATTTGATACATCCAAATAAATCATTCTATAACCCTAAAGAATGTCCTCCATGTTCCAAAACTATCCATGAACCTAGTCTCCATACAAAAACTTACAAATGATTTTTCCTGTAGTGTGACTTTTCATAATGATGGTTGTATATTTCAGGATAAAGAATCGGGAAAGACGATTGGACGTGCTAGAGAAAGGAATGACCTTTATTATCTTGAAGAATCAGGTCAGTGTACAAAAGTTCACTTGTCCCACTCATTCATGTCGGAGTCAGTACTCTCCAAAAAGGAAAAAATCTTACTTTTTCATTGTCGATTAGGTCATCCTTCTTTTGGAGTCATTAAAGTTTTGTTTCCATCTTTATTCAATAAGGTAGATATTGAAAGTCTTCATTGTGATGCGTGCGAGGTTGCTAAACATAAACGTCTACCTTTTCCATTAAACAACAAAAGAAGCTTTCTCCTTTCTATCTTATTCAATCAGATGTTTGGGGTCCCTCTACCAATGCAAATGTAACGGGTACTAGGTGGTTTGTTACTTTTATAGACGATTGTACTGTTTTTACTCCAAAATAAGTCTGACGTCAGTACTGTTTTCCCAAAG